AAGCTCATGCATATTTTTGTGTTTTGGGATTCACGGCATTGAAGCAAGACACATGTTGTAAACAAGTACTTCTTTATTCGTTCCTCAACTCCACTCAACTCTGCAAGCAGGCATGCAGGCCTTTTATAGTCTCCCAAACCCCAGGCAGTCAAGCCAATAGGGAAAACCCTTTTTTTGCGCCTTGCGCATGCACACAGGTCTGGCGCCAGCCAGTCTGGTCCTGGGCAGCTTTTAGGTTGCCCGGGACCATTTGCAACCTTTCTGGGCCTGCTGAATTGCTTCAGCAGGCCCAGGACACAACACCCCTCCCCCCTGGATAAAACACGCCACAAAAGGCACAATAGCCCAATACAGGTGTCTTGGACAGGATAAGTGTTAAACAAAAATTTCTTTTACTACGCAAAGGCAGAGCACTTTACACTAAATCATAATAATAACAAATAAACTATTAATAAAATAATTACAACAACCACAGTTATAACATAATTCTTTGACTAGTAAGGTGGCCTTTGGACCGATAGTAACCTTACATAACCTTTAAGGTATTTAGGTGGGCCTTTGGCCCTTTGTGACCATTGCAGGATCAGGGAGGTTGCCTAGCCTGACAGCTCACCTGCCAATCTAGGCAGACCAGGACTTCCATTTAATGGTGCCTGGCCTACCGGCCAGTCTGGTGGGCTCGATAGACCAGGACTTTGATGCCTTAGAATTCCAGGTGACCCACTCCGCAGCTGACTGGCTGGATCCTCTGAATCCCAGCCAGGTTTCCTTGGAGGGGTGGAAATCCCCATGCCCAATGGTGGAGAGGAATTCTCCAAGTCCACAATGGACTCCTCTTGGGAACATTGTCCCTCGACCCCATGACCAGCATCGGAAGTGGCCTGTGTTGCAGCAGTGCCCCAGTAGTCCCAGTCCCCCGAGGTGCCAGAGTCAGGAGCCGCTTCTATGGCAAACCCTCTCTCAGGAAAATTCCTGTTTGGAGCACTTACAGAAGCCTGGGATGACCCCCAATCTGGAGACTTCCTGATCGGAGCAATAGCTGAATTCTGAGAATGCCCCTATTCCGTCACTGGACCTTGTGTATTAGCGTGTGAGAACTCGCTGGAGCCGGGAGACTGAGGTCCAAAATACAATTGATGGCCCTCCTCCCCCCCTGAGAGCAGAGCCAGGAGCGGAAACATTGGTGGACAACTGCCAACGCAGTTGGCCAATATGGCGCTGAAGAACGCATCCATCGCCCAAGGCCACTTCGTATGAGAGTAGCCCTGAGACTTTGCATACAACAACAGTGACCCAGAGATGTCCAGGACCATAGTTCCTTGCCCAGACTGGATCGCCCACCTGAAGTCTCCTAGGTGCCCGCGGCTGTGACACCTGTGAAGCCACCCGGTGTGGGTGCAGTCTGTCCAACTTCATGATGAGGCATCGACCCCAGTGGAATTCAGCTGGGCTCTTTCCAGTGGTAGTGCATGGTGTGGTGCGGTGTGCAAGAAGAAAATCTGCTAACCTGTGATGCCCAGCTACCGTGCATGATTCTTTTGAGTGCATCTTTGGGGGTGCGTACCATCCATTCAGCTTGCCCATTGGTGGAAGGGTGGAAAGGAGCTGACATTGAATGCCAGATCAATTTGGCCTGTCTGAAAGCCTGGAACGCAAAAGAAGTAAATTGGGGGCCATTGTCAGAGACGAGGACATCAGGAAGTCCATGGGTAGCAAAGATTCCTCTCAACACCTGGATGATCCTAGCAGTAGTATTGGAGGAAACAGGTATAACCTCTAGCCACTTGGAATGGCTATCCACCAGGATAAGGAAGAATTGCCCCTGAAAAGGCCCAGCATAATCTAAATGTACCCTTGACCAAGGGGTTTGTTTTCTCCTCCCACCTGTGTACAGGGGCCTGAGGCATTTCAGGCCATGACTGTTGGCACAGCTGGCACCCGTATACCTGGGCCTCGATAGCTTTATCAAGCCCAGGCCACCACAGATGGCTGCATGCAAGAGCTTTCATGCACACAATGCCTGGATGTCCCTCATGCAGAGAGAACAATACTCTAGACCTCCGTGAGGCTGGGATAACTACTCTACTACCCCATAACAGGCACCCATTAAATGTAGACAGTTTGTGCCTCCTTTGCCAGAAGCTTTGAAATGCAGCATCTGGACACGTGTCAGGCCATCCTGACAACACCCATGTCAGCACACGTGTAAGCGTGTGATTAGTGGCAGTTTCTGCAGCCACATCCCTAGCATTGAGGGGAGATTCAGGCAGTTCCTGAATAGAGAGAATATTAACAGCAGGGGCAGGATCTGCCTCTATTTGTGTGAGAGGTAGCCTACTGAGGCCATCTGCATGGCCCATTTCTTTCCCAGGTTTGTGAATGAGCATGTAATCATATGCTGACAGGAAAATGGACCACCTCAGCATACGTGGGGATATGATGTGTGGAGTTTGTTTGGTCGTTGTAAACAACCCCAGCAAAGGCTTGTGGTCTGTAAAGACTGTGAACTGGCAGCCATATAAGAAATCATGGCCAAGGCTTCTCTGTCAATCTGAGTGTAATTCCGCTCTGTAGATGACAGAGTCCTTGAATAGTAAGCCACAGGGGCTTGTGTCCCATCAGCTTTCAGGTGACTGAGTACTGCACTCATCCCATAAAGGGATGCATCACAAGCGATGCACACAGGCAGTGCTAAGACAGCATTTGATGAGAGCAAGGCCTTGACCTCATTAAAACTCCTGTCATGGACCTTAGTCCAGGGCTTTTCAACCTTTTCACCCATTGTACCACTTTTAGAATATGGCAATATCCAAGTACCACCAGTCGCTTAGCAAGGTGTCAAAAACTTGATGACAAAAAAAGGAAAAAAGTGATAAAGTACAGGTAGTCCTCGACTTACAACAGTTCACTTAGGACTGTTCGAAGTTACAATGGCACTGAAAAAAGTGCCCCCAAGCCACAGTCAAGCAAGACACCTGCCTGCCCACCTGGCGGCGCTCTTCCTCCTGTCCGAGGTTTTCATTGTTGTGAGCATTTCTGTTGAGGATTGGCAGCGGGGGTGGGGTGGAGGTGTTTGGTTTTTATTCCCCCCGTCTGCTGGGTGGTTGCAGAAGGTTTTGGTCACTTCACATGACCCTGGGACACTGTGACCGTCATAAATATGAATCAGTTGCCAAGCATCTGAATGTAAATCACAAGACCCTGGAGATGCTGCAACATTTCAGCTGATCGGCGCTTCTTCTGGGCTCAGCTGAAGCACCAGGATCAGCGCTGAGCTCCAGCAGGAGCCTGGCACTGATCCTGGTGCTTCTGCTGAACCCTGACAGCCCTGCAGCTCCAGCCATCTCTCGCTCAGGCTTGTGCGGTGCTGCCACCAGTTCACTCATTCCCCTCCCCCACTACCACTTTTCTAGGATGTTCACGTACCACCTGCCAGGTTCCAATGTACCACAGGTGGTACCTGTACTACTGGTCGAAAAGCCCTGCCTTAGTCCACTGCCATGGAGCTTGCTTATCTAAGAGCCAGTATAACAGCTCAGTCACTGCAGCCTTATGTGGGAGAAAAGCATGATAGAAGTTAAGAAGTCCCAAGAAAGCCTGAAGCTCACTTTTAGACTTGGGACTTGGGGCCGCCTTCAGTTTGGATTCTGCAGGGAGGATGCCTTGAGTATCTATTTTAAGGCCTAAAAATTCTGTGGAACTGACTCCAATTTGGCATTTGTCTTTTTTCAATTTGAGGCCCGCTTGGCGGAACCTCAGCAACACAGCCCATAACCTCTTAGCCAAATTCTGTGAGGACTCCCCTGTGATGAGGATGTCATCGAAGTAGGGGCACACCCCCAGAATACCCTGAGCATGTGCTCCATGATGCTCTGAAATATGCCAGGAGCAACATTCACCCCAAATTGTAACCTTTTTACCTTAAAAGCGCCCCTATGGGTCACTATTGTTTGGGCCTCAGCAGTTGCCTCATCAACAGGTAGCTGTTGATAGGCCTGTACTAAATCAAGCTTTGCAAACAGCTTTCCCCCTTTGAGGGAGGCCAGAATATGACTCACTACTGGTACAGGATATGCATGCTGTTGCAAAGCTGTATTTAAAGTACATTTATAGTCCACACAAATACGGACTTCCCCATTAGCCTTTAAAGACGTTAAAATGGGGGTTTCCCATGGACTGGAGTCCACAGGTTCCAAGATGCCCTGCTGAAACAGCTTGTCCAGCTCAGCATCAATCTTGCCTTTGAGGGTGAAGGGCACCCTCCTAGGCTTAATCCTAACTGGTGTGATGTTTGGGTTTAACCGCAGGGCAATGGGAGACCCCTTGTATGAACCAAGCTCTGAACTAAACACATCCACAAACTCTCTGCAGACTTCTGCAATTCCTGGAGTTTGCAGGCTGTGTAGGCCAATTACCTGGGTTCCCAGGGCCTCGAACCAATCGAGTCCAATTAGACTTGTATAATCACCCCCAACAACCACCACATCTAATAAGACTTGGAAAGCCTTATGCTGCACTTTGAGTGTGGCTTCTCCAAATACATTAACCCTTGAATTTTGAAAATCAGTAAGAATTAAGCTTGATGGCCTGAGTTTTACTCGAAGGCCACTACTGCTGCAAATCCTTTTAAAAGTATTGTGTGAAATGATCGATAGAGCGGACCCAGTGTCCAACTCCATCGATAAGGGAACCACTTGTAACTGCACATCAATGCAAAGTTTCTTTTTAAGGGGTTTGTGTGTCCCTGTTCTCAAAATGCTTCTACGTGACTCACAGAAACCCACTCTGTGTTGGCTGGGGACCCTGGTACCTTTTCAAAGGAATTCTTCCTGAGGTTGCACCTGCTGGCGACCCAAACAAAAGGTGGCAATGTGGCTTACCATATGCCCAGCAAATGGCGGAGAGGAGCCGGCAATCGGTGCACTTGTGTCCTTCGCAACCGAGATACTGAAGGGCTGCTAGGGTGTTGTCTGGTTTCTCTTGTGGTCTTCTTACCACAGGCTGGTGAAGTCTGTCCACCTCCTCTTCAGGATCCAGGTCTGGAACTTTCTGAGCAACCTCTTGATGGATGGTCGCGACGGTTGGAGCGTTTCTGGCGAGCCACAAGGCCTTCACAGCACCGCTTGCTGCTTCTTCAGCTGCAGCTTCGTGCAAGACATCTTGGAAAGTGACTTCAGCTTTAGTAAAGTTTTTTGTTGCAGTTCTCTGCATCTAATGCCACAGACAAAGCGGTCTTGTAAGCGTTCTTCCAAGTCCTTGAATTCACAAGGCCTGGCAGCTTGTCTCAAGGCAGTGATGAATTCAGCAGCAGATTCGCCTGGCTTCTGGTCCCTCTGCTCAAAAGCATGCCTCCACGCAATTACAGATAGTTTGGGATGGAAGTGATTCTTCAGCATGTTTTTTAAGTCTGTGTAGGTGACAGACTCCTGTGGTGCAGGGGCTACCAGGTTTTCGGCCACATTGAAGGTGTCCTGACCGCAGATGCACAGCAGGGTTGCCGCTTTCAGGCTGTCTTCCCAAACCTGGTTAACCCTTAGGTAATTTTCTACCCGGGCCACATAGGAGTTCCAGCGCTCTGGGTGAGAAACATCGAATTCTGACAAGCGTCCTATCTTCGACATCTTCTGCTTTGGGATGCCTTGCTGCAAGCTTTCGTTGGGGGAAGGACCCGTTTGCCAACTTCACTTCCAGCGCTACTGTACTGGCAGGTGAGTGCAGAGCTGGATGCTGATTCCCAGGCTTCAGGCTCTTCAGATGAGCCTGTCACTCAAGGTCTCCTTCCTGATTGCTATTACCTCGGCCAGGCACATTTCAGAATTGGTTGCCTTGTCGGTTAGGAAGGATCTGTGCATGTTTCATGAGGACACGGTGGTTCTCAGACTAGATCCTTCGTTCATTCCTAAGGTTAATATGGTTTTCCATAGAGCACAGGAGGTCATCCTTCCAAATTGCTGCTCTCACCCATCACATGAATTGGAACTTCATTGGCACACCTTGGATGTAAGGAGAGCGTTACATTTTATATCAAGCCCATGGCACTCTTCCGTAAATTGGAAGCTCTGTTTGTGTCGTTCCAGCCTTCTACAATGGGTCAAAAGACATCAGCTTCCACCATAGGCAGGTGGATCAGGGCTTGTATCTCATGCACTCTTGCCTTACCAGTTCCTCCTCATGTGACGGCACATTCCACCTGCAGTGCCGCTACAACTGCAGCGTGGGCTACCCAGGCGTCCATTGAGGACATCTGCAGGGCGGCGACATGGTCTTCGCCATCTCCATTCATTAAGCATTATTGTTTAGATAAATTTGCGTCGGCTGAGGCCGCTTTTGGTAGGCGTATTTTGCAACAAGCGGTCACGCCATCTGGAGGTCTGGCCCCAACTGACTCCCACCCTTAGGGATTCCAGAGGCTTTGATACGTCCCATTGGTGGATTCTTCAGTCATCATGCTGGAGAAGGAGTGTTGGCTTACCTGAACACCTTTTCTCAGCATGATGATGAATAATCCATGCCCTCCACTACTACATGTCAGTCAGGTCCAGGTGGGGTAGTTGTTTGGTTAACTTTCTTTTAATACCTGCTCGAGAGTCATCACGTCGACCTGTTGTCACTGGCTACTCCCTCGATGAAACTGGAAGCCCCAGATAATGAGGAGACGTGACAACTTGACAAATTGGTCTGATTGGGCAGGAGGACTGAAATAACCCATTGGTGAATTCTTCATCATCATGCTGAGAAAACGTGTTCAGGTAAGCCAACGCTCCTTCTCAGTCATTCTGGGTTCCAAGAAGTAGTTTTCACAGGCAACAGGTACAGGAGGCAAACAACAGAAGGTTTAGCAAGCAGTCTGGTCAGCAGTGGCTCTTAAGTGGGAATTGCATAAAGGATAGAAACATCCTTAACATGCAAGAAGCCTGGCAGATCTCCTCTGTTCTGCTCTGTAATCAGTATTACATGCTATAAGACCTGGAGAAGGGTGCTGGATCCACCCCCCTCTCCCCCCATCTTCTGTCATCTCCAGGTAACTGGAATATTTCTCAAGCCATGTTAGCCTCTGGCAACTGATATCTGGGCTCCTTTTGAGGTTGCTATTTCTCCAGGCATCCTGAACAGCTTCCTCTCATATTTATCTTAGGCTGAGTTGACCATCACATAGCCCTAGAAGGGCTGAATGGCTATGGATTGATGGGACCTCTGTTTCTGGACTTTTCCTATTTTAATTTTTATAGAGTTTCATTTCCCCAAATGGTACTGAAGTTACTATTCTTGTTCATGGGGCAGTGGAAGCTTGAGTGGCTGTAGCTTTGGACAAATCCTTTTTATGTAGTAATTATGCCCTTTTTTGGATTAGAAAGTTGTATTCATGCCTTGGTCTCTTTGTTGTTGGACTATGACAACATAGTCTTCAAGGGCAGACCCAAGTAGAGTATTTGGAAGGTACATCTGAATGAATGCATATAGTGGGCAAAAGCGTTATGAGCACACTTTGGTTCATCTGGGTAACACCTTTCCTCCACAAGGAGCAGTCATTGCTACCTGGCTTTTTGATGAAATCCAAGGTGCTTATCTTCAACTGTAATGGAATGGGAGAGACGTGGTGAAGAAAAGCTGCCTGGAGAACAATCAGATAAGAGACATCAAAGCTCGCAGCTGCATAATGTCCAGAGAAAAGGGACCCTCCCTAGCTTCAAATATAAAATTGAAACCAGAAGTTTTCCTTTTAGGGCAGTTGGATAGAAAACTTGAAAGAAAATTTGGAACTTTGTTATTATATAAATTGACAGCAGTGAGAATCCTATATGTGCAAAAATGGAAAGACATGTCAATTCCCCCAATGGAAGAATGGATGGAAAAAGTGATGGAGTTGGCAGAGATGGCAAAGCTAACTGTTTTAATTAAAGAGACAAACTAATCCAGTTTTGTTTCCACTGGGGAACCTCTTCTGGACTTTATGTTTGAAACAGAAAAAGATTAAATGTTCACTTTAAATTTTGATGATTAAATTAACTTCGTTGTTATAGAAATGGCTTGTATCTCTTAGAAATGTAAAGCAAAAAGTTGAGATCACAACTATATTTTGTATAGTATCTGCTTAAAAGCACTCATTAGAGGAGATTCCCTTTATTCTCTTAGTAACTGGTTCCACTGTCAAGTTTCTCTTGCTATTAGATTTTTCTTAAAGTTTGGCTAGTTGTTGGATATTATTAAACATCAAATTACTGTTTTACCAGTTTGCATTTGAAGAATATAAAATACAAATAAATTGTTGCCTGTTAAGCATTAGGGACAAATAATGGTTTTGTTTTCCTTATATTGATCCTCTTTTGCTGCGAATTGCAAGCTTTGAGAAAAGAACCAATATTTTTCAGCTGTTTATTAGTCTACAGTGTTTATTAGCAACGGGGGCACTGTTTGCCTTTTGTAAGCAACAGGATGGTACCCAGGAGTATCTATGGAAAAGTCACCAAAAAAAGTGAAGATGGCAGCTAAAACGGGGTAATCATATCTGCACAACTGTGTGGTTGGAGAAACAAAGGTTCAAACACATTGGTCACTTGACTTGACAACCCCCATCTCCTAGTTATGTGTTGTTTATGTCTGTAAATGAATTCTGAAAGGCCATAGGAAAGAGGAGGAGAACAGTGTTAAAGTTTTAGTTTGAAATTTAGAAATTTAGTTTATCTCCTTTTCTTTCATCCTCATACTACAGGGTTAAAATAGTTTCAGGGTATATCAGATTCTTCATCTTTTTTTCATTATGACCTACAGGTTTATTCCAGCCAGGGCATCTCTCCAGTTTTACAGTATTTTAAATAGGTCAGTTTTTGGACGTCTGGGACACAAAATATGTAAAGTCCAAATGGGTCAGGAAAATAATATATCAACTTTAACCCAATGGCAAGACAGTTGCAGTGGTAAGTTTAGAAATCTGTACCTTATTTTTGTTTTTCTAACAAGCTCCTTCCCCTTAAAGAAATAACTTACTCCTTTGGGGGTTCACATAGAATCATGGTTTGCTTTACTGACAGACATGCCAAGCTAAACAAATCACATTAGTATTTAGCACAATTATGAGTCAACTGAAGAGAGATTATCAGCACCACACTTCTTCATCTTAAACAAATCTATTTCACAACTCTTTTTTTAAATAAAATAAAATAATAAAATAAAATAAAATAAATAAAATAAAATAAAACTGGCTATAAACTTATGCTCACATTTGCATTGTCTGTTCAAACTGTCCCATCTTGGGTAAAATATTGGTAAACTGCCTATTTTAATTGCTAAGCTAGTATAGGTTTCAGAATTCAGGACCAGTGTTTGTGGAGATAGCAGTACACTTAAAGTCCCACAAGGTCATCTGTCACCTGAACTTCAGTATATTAGAGAACCTTTCTTAGATGCCATTTTTTCTAAGTTAGAGCAATGCAACTCCTTTCCCACAAAGTTTGTTAAACGTTAATCTTTGGAGTTTACTTTTTATTCATGGTGAAGCCAGATTCTTGAAACATTTAAAACTCTTATTTAGGACTTTCAATGCCCTTCAAATGTTCATTTAATAGAATGAATATAAATCTGTGTTTAGAAATGGGAGGAATAAATTAAAAGTACTTTGACTAATATATGAAACATCTTCTAAAAATTAGTTACATTCTACTAATATGCTATAATGTCCTATTATATGTAAAACAATCTAATTGTTCTTATATTTAACAGGAATAAACTCTACAAAATTTAGTGGGAATAATTTCTCAAGAAACCTGATTAGAATTGTGGTAGGAGAGCATATTGATTATCTGCTGAATCAAGGCTGGTCAGCAATACTATAACCATTATATTTCTGCTAAACGAAGAAATGTTCTGGAGCCCTATTTTCCAAAGATTACCTTCTGTTTGAAGGGCTAACCAATCCGTTATTGGTCTAAAGAAAACTGGGAAAAGAAGGAAGAGGTATTGCTTATCTTTTTGACTTGCTCATGAATAGATCCCAGATAGCAGATTGAACAGTAGCCAAATCTCATGGCCAAATGTTTATGCCAGTACACATTTTAATTTTAATTTAATTTAAGTTTATTATTTTATTTTATGAAGCCATCCTAAAAACAAGCATTCCTCCCATCTCAAAACTACTTCTCTCTGGATAGTCTTAGCTGTTTGGATTTTGAAAATCTATGTGTTTCCACCTGGAGGAAGACCCAGAATACCTGCATGGGGATTTGGTTTCTCTGTCTACCAATCTGAAATAAAGTGTTTAGCTAAAGCCAGTTCTGCATATATTCAGCGTTGCTATCCGTCCTTAGTTGGAAAGAAGAAAGCTATTTGCTTCAAATTGCACAATGTTTTAGGTGTTTCCTGAATATAGTCAGACTAAATAAATTTTAACTACAGCATTGGATATTGCTAGGCTGAACCCTGAAGGATGAAATTAAATTTCTCCAGCATGGATTCCACCCAGATATACATAGAGAAGAGACTCTCCCAGAATTCTCAGTGATAGTCCCACTTTTGGAAAATCCTGGGGACAGATGTCCCAGGTATCTGGAAATGCCCAGATTGGGTAAATCTAGAATAAATGACTACTCTCAAAAAAAATGTTGGTCTTAAATCTATCCCTCCCTTCCTTGGATAAAGCCTTTCTTGAGAAACTATAGTTTTTAAGGTTGGCATGTAATTTTTTTTAATAAACACAAGTTGCTTTTGGAATATGTATCTTTCCCTATTTCCTGTATTTCTAATACCTTACTTGATCTAGTCAAAGAGGGATGAGGCACTATATGGTTGCACTATGGGAAGAGCAATTCCTCTAGCGACTGAGAATTTCTACTTAATGATTGACAGTACCACCCAGTCACCACCCACCTGGATGATGTTATAAATTACAAGTATGGAAATGCTCTAGATTTGTGATTGTGACTCTACTGTACATAGAACTTCCTTATTTGAGGGACTGTCGCAGAGTACCCTTTGGATAACTTTTTAATGTGTTCATTATCTCCCATCAGGTTAACGTGGTTGCAGTGAAGGTTTCTGGTGGGGTAGGTGTTGGAACCATAAGTTAAATGTCATATAATCCTGGACCAAACCAAGAATGGTTCATGCCTAACTCACCATGTAAAGTCACCCTTTCTCCAGCATGAGGATGGATAATCCACGGATTGGGTTTCCTGAAGTCCCTTCTACCCAATTAGACTAAGTCTGAGAGATAGCCACGCCTCTTGCTGGGTCACGTTTACCCAATTCCGACTTAATCTTTACCCAGACAAGACGCATTGGTGATTATCTCCAGATTCAGATTATATTAAAAAAAATGTTTTTCCCTTATTTCCTATCCCTGGATTATCCTTCCTTTCCCCTTTAGTTTCTCTTCAGAACACTGACCTTTTCTGTGCTTTCTTCCCTTAGTTCCACCCCTCCCCTCTGCCTCCCTATTACTTTCCTTCCCCGGCTATTGCAGCCTCAGCACGAGGCTTGTTTTTTTTTTCCATTTGGGTGATCAGAACTTTAGGGAGCTTGCAGCCTCAACACGAGGTTTTGTTTACCTCGGTGTTCAGGGCTTTAGGGAGCTTGCGGCCTCAGCACGAGGTTATTGTTTATCTTCTGTGCTCAGGGCTTTAGGGAGCTGCGGAGTCTTCCATTTGATCCAGCTGGTCGGCGGATTGCCGCGGAAGCCCAGGACGACAGCAGATCGTCCCAGGCTGCTGGAGTCTCAGCAAGAGGCTTATTTCTTTTATTTTCGGGGCTTGGAGGAACCGCAGAGCCTAATGGAAGCCCCGAACGAAGCTGATCGTCCGGGCTTGTACTGGACAATCGCGGCTACCGGCGAGTCGCCATGTGGCTGGAGGCCACCATTTTATTTTTTGGGGCCTGGTCCCGTTGCATCGTGGAGAGTCACATGGTTGGCGTCCGCCATTATTGCTTCAAGGTCTGTGCTTCAGGGCTGGCGATAGAGCCATAGGCTGATCGCCACGTGGCTGGCAGTCGCCATTTTGGAGGAAAAGTTATCGCACAGTTTTTTTGTTGTTTTTTTCTCAACTGCATTGGTGAGAAACTAAGAAAGATTTGTCTTTAAATTGACTTTTCTGATCTTATTGAGTGGCTAGAAAAGCCTCCCCTCTTTTCTGGGGAGGGCAGAACTAGTGCAGACAATCTCCAAGCACATTTCCCCAGCCATATCCACTTGTTATTGCCTCTGGCAATATATTGTAGCAGTATAGTTTGAATTGTCATTCATCGGGAGTTAGATTCTCTCACCCCTGCTGCTTACTTAGAACCTATCTACCACATACTGTGTTTCACAGTTTTTCTGCAAAGGGTTCACATACTGGTCTCACCAGTTTTTTTTTTTTTGCAGTACCACACTGGGCCTCAGCTCCTAGCCTGTTTCAGACCTATTCTCAGACTTGTGCTGAAGGGTCTCAGGCCTAGCTCCTTTGCAAGGAGCCCATACTGATTTTCCAGTCCTTACTGCCTGGTACAACCCATTCTCAGACTTGTGCTGAAGGGTCTCAGGCCTAGCTCTTTTGTAAGGAGTCCATACTGATTTTCCAGTCTTTATTACCTGGTACAACCCATTCTCAGACTTGTGCTGAAGGTTTTTTTTTTTTTTCAGGTCCTATCTACTGTGCTGAGAGCCCATACTGGTCTTACCAGTTTTTCTACTGTTTTTTACCTTAGAACTTTACCTCCT